ATAGTTTTTATAATTGAAGTCAGTTGAAAAAATGATCATGGAGCCAATGTCGTCTAAGCTGCATTGTCCTCAATCCCCATCACCAGTTTTTGACAACTTGTTAAATTATTTCCCACAATAAAAGGCATCATTATTGTGGTTACAGTTCTTCTACTGAAATATAGACCATTTTGCAAGATGTAAACAACACTGGTCCAGAAACACTTCCTGTTTCAGTTTGTAACTGTTTTCTTTATTTCACCTGTAAAGAAAACATCTTAAAGATGTTTGTTTAACTTTTTGATTCAGTTTTACATGTTCTGTTGGTTGTATTTAATCCCAGCTATTATGTAGTGTTAAAAAAAAAACTGAAACAGGAAGTGCTTCTGGACCAGTGTTGTTTACATCTTGCAAAATGGTCTATAAAATGAAAGTGCACACTAATACAATAAAGAAATCATAAGATAAAGATAAACAGTACACAAATGCCCATCATTAGGAAGTATCAATAAATAAATACCTTTATTTTATTTTTTTTTTATTGAAGGAACATCTTACATTTAGCAAAAGGAGGAAAAACATGGATGACTAAAACCTGTACAATCGTTTTGTTTGATTATGAAAACTGGGCAGTGATTGATAAGTCACTGCATATGACATCACTGATGTTGCTGCTGCTGACAGTTCTGACTGTTGCTAGGTGATGATCTCACAATGGAAGAACACAATGACATCACTCAACCAGCTCTGATGGACAGACAGCAGTTGAACAGATGTGGAACATGAGATTCTGAAACAGACAAATAGAAAGACATTAAATACATTTACAATATTTATCGTTGCATGTCTTATAACAGATTCTTTATATAAATCATTTCTCACCTTCACTTTTGTCTTCAGTTTGGCTTTGAGATTAGATGCATTCTGATGAAAAAGCTGTTGAATCATAATTTACAATCTTATAATCTGAATTCATTTCATTATATTCTCTGTACATCATGCAATTGTGAATTCTCTGGATGTTTTACTCACCACATCCACAGAGCCGCTATAATGAGAAACTGAGGTAAAAACACCAGCAGAATGACTGTATAATGGCTGAACGCTGTGCTGTCCACTGGACCGTCACAACACAAAGAAGTGAATTGAATCATGGCCATCAGAGAAACAATCATTTCAGACTAAAGCTCATAAATCATGAGAGAAGTGTCACCTTCTACAGCACAGGAATACTCCTGAAGATCTTCATTGCTGACTGAGTCCAGGTACAGCTTGTTGGCTTTAGTGAATCCATCCGTTACCTGCCATCCGTTCTTGTACCAGATGTAAGTATGATTGATGTTCAAGGTGCATTTAGTTGAACAGCTTAATATCACTTCCTGTCCCTCTGATATAATGTTTGGGCTGCTTATCACTGTCGTATCTGAAAAACAGAGTTGAAGTATTTCAAGTTGGGCTTAACATTGGTTTTGACTGACATGAAACAAAAATAAAAAAAACTTCTGTGAATCTTCTCATTAAAATGTTACCAAATCCACCATGATCAGTTACCTGTGACAGTAAGCATGACTCCAGGTGATCCAGAGTATTTTCCTTCTGCTGTGTCAGTGATGATCCTGAATCTATATTCTCCAGAGTCACTCATCTTGAGCTCTTTGATTCTCAGTGTGTTTCCCTCATACTCCACACGACCAGCAAACTGATGCTCCTCACGCAGATCATTGAAGTCACCAGGCTGAACGTAATGCCAGAATGTTTTATTTAGAATGTAACCAGAGGGATGTGAGTATGTGCTGGAAATATCTACTGTTGAGCCCATCAAAGCACAGACACTTCTAGAGGAGTAAGACACATCCCAGCAGCCACTCTTAGAAATACCTGAAAGAGTCACAGATGAACATGTAAAACTCAAACTTACTTTAAAACATGTTTAAATATACACATGGATGAACAAACTGTACCGCATTGTGTGTATTATTTGACACTCACACACAGAAGAGGAGTGATGTTTAAGGTTAAAATCAAGACCACAGGAATATCTGCCAGCCTCTGTGCTGGGTGACACAAGTATGTTGTTAGAGCTTGTATGTCTTAAATACTTTCCATCCTTCATCCAGTAATGATGCCCATCAGTGGTGCAGGAAGAATCACAGGTCAGTTTTATACTCTGATCTCTCGGGTCTGTTGTTGCAGGATTCATTCTCACCTGCAAGTCTGAATTATAGTAAAAAAATAAGAAATATTTCATCACATGACAAAAGAAAACAGCTGAAGTGACGAGAATCTAGACTCAGTTTCACCTGTGACTGTTAAATTGGCGGCGACTGAGCTGAGACGTTTAACTCCATCCTTCATGATGAACATGAGCTGATATTCTCCAGAGTCTCTCCCTCTCAGGTCTGATATTGTGAGTGTTGAACGGCCGTTCAAGACCTCCTGCTTCACCCGTCCTGAGTAGTCCGAGTCTAAAGTCAAATCTTCAGGTTCATCATTCTTTCTCCAGTTTGTACTTTGTTTCTGGCTGAACCATAACACAGTTTTGATTTTGATTTTGGAATAAGAACAGATCAGCTCCACAGGGCTTTTGCTCGGAGCACAAACATCTTTACGGGTCACAGAGAGGGAGTCCAGTGTTAGAGAACCTGATGAAAAAGAAAACACTTAGACCAAAAAGTTGATGAAGGAAAGATCCTATTATAACAACCACATGACAGCAGTTTTGATGTTGATGTCAAAGAAATAACACCTCAGTGTCTTCTGAAACCCCTTCACAGTACAAATATTCTTTTGATTCATGGGCGTAGGAGCCATTATACGTGGCTCCTCAAATTTTTTGGCTGTGCACTCGTAATGACAAAATGACAAGGATGTTAAGGATAAAAGCAGGTTTAGAACTTGCCTCATTGAAGTCAACAGGGTGCGACTTTTAAAAAGAGGATAACACGGTGTAGGCAACACGTAATTTTACTGACAGCACTCCAAATGTACAAAAAAAAATTAGCTCAGTTTTAAAATTGACTGGAGTTCTCCTTTCTTAAGAAAAATCCAGGTCGTGTACATTTTTATTTTTTTTATTTATTTTGCATATAGCATATTTTGAATATTCAAACCCCTTCTAAAAGTGACTGTATGATGTTGACATCTATCTATTCACACCGAGGACAACAGAGGGACTCACACACACAACTATTACAAAAGGTGAAAGATAAGTTAAGTTAAAGATAAGTTAAAGTAAATGACAATATCGACAATACAAGACAATGTCTGTTGTTGTTCATTACAGTGTGCTTTTATTTGTTCTGGTCCATTGTTCTGATCTGGTCAATGTCACTTTTAAATGACCGATTTCTAAAGAAATTTTGAATCAATAAGTATTGTAATTGTATTTTTTACTGATTAAATGTTAATATACAGTGTTTTTTCAGTCAGTATGCATTATAGACGTTAAGATATGTAATGTAACCCTAATAAATCTGTTGATGTGAAAAACAAAACTTGGTTTAATGATTTATAATTTATTTAAAATAATTAATAAGTCAACAAAATATAAACTGGAAAGTTTGAGATTAGTCTGTTTGTCTTTTAAGTTACCTTTACTTAGTTAATTCAATGTGAAGACCACATTAGGTCAACTCAATTAATTAAGTTTGAATTTTGCCATTAATCAAAAAAACGTACGCAACCACTTTCCTCGAATAATTTGAGTAGTCTCAACTTATTAGGGTTTACAGTGTACATATATATATATATATACACTGATCACTTTTTAGTCAACTGATCACTTTTTACAATCGCTTTACAAATGTTTAGGGTCATATTGACCCCCAAACACCACAAGTGTAAACAGGAAACGAGGAGAACATTAGGGTTAAGTTAAAACAATCACTTTTGGAACATGTTAAAGATAATTAGAGCCACGTTTAAATTAAAAGCCGACAGATGAGAATAAGACAGTAATTGTCAAACCTGTATTGTGCAGCAGCAGCAGGATCAGAGGTAATAGTCTGGAGTTCATGTTCTTCACTTTCTGTACATTCAGATTCAATGAAACACACAGAGCTGCTCGTCCTGAGAGAGAAAAAGACACAGTCATTGAGTTTGACTGAAACACTTGAAGGGTCTTTACCGTCAGAATCATAAATCATTAAACAAACTTCAGAAAATAATAATTAAAATGACAGTTAATGTAATGTTTAAATACAATGAAAGATAGATTTACCTGCATTACAGTTCGCTGTTCTCAGAGTTGTATTTTCTGTCTGTTTAAGAAGCTTTGCAGACTTTTCTGATGATCTCATGTCCTTCCCTTTTCTTATTAACTCACAAATAAAAAAAGAAAGGGGATGCTTAAATTTATAAATATAGATTTGTTGTCTATTTAGATTTCTATTTAATGTTTATTAAAAATAGGAAATGACACAAAACTCAACTAAAACTGACTTTCAAAGTTGAGTTTGATTGATCATTTTCTAAAATCATTCAAACTCAACTCAGGTAGACAGTTTTAGTTGATTTTTTTCCCCCTAATTTTAATAAACATTAAATACAAATCTAAATAGACAAAAACATATTTTAAATATTCCAAGACAGTATAAATTAAAGGCAAACATTATTTGATCATTTTCCTGAATTAACTCTGTGAATCATAAGTTTAATGAAACACACACATTTATATATTAATGCAGTCAGCAGATACATTTTTTCTTACATTTTATGTTGAGCAACAGTAGCTCATAATTTCCAGAGTGAATCTCTTGAAAACATTCCACTACACTCCTCCCTTAGTGTCGACTCATTGGTAATTAGTAACCCATAGATTTTAAGGTTGTTAAATCACATTTTATATTTATAGGCATATGACAAACCATTGCATTTGACTAGCACGTATCTTGACTCAAGATAATCCAGGACACATTATGAGGACCAGCATTTGTCTTTTTTTTTTTTACATTACATATAATTATTTGAACATTTTTTAATTTTCCCCATTTTTTTTTTTGATGATGAAGATGATGAACAAATGTTGAGAAACAGCATTTATTTGAAATAAAAATCTTTTGACAATCTGACATAATTTATTAGTTTAATCTAAAGACATACACGCAATTTAAGCAGGCAATAAAAGTGTTTGATAAAAACATGCATTATAAAGATTATTACTCATGTCACTCATTACAAAATCCTCCATATTTTTGAATAATTTAAGAAAAATTCTGTTTTAAACTACAGAAAAACCATAGACATTTGGCAAGAGCAAAAGCTTGTTCACAATATGGCTGTAGTTCAGTTAGTAGTTTTTTTAATAGCGGGTCTAAACGGGTCTACTGAACTTCACAGATTCATAGTGAACATCATCTGACGTTGAATGTACAGTAGTAGGTGCCAAAGATGTGTTCTTCACGTGAGACTGTTTGAAAATAATAGTTGAATAATGAACGTCCTGATCTTTCATGTGAAGCACTTCATCCTGTGTACAGACCATAGATAAGGGTTCAGCATTATCATAGAGTGTTGCTGAACCCGACTGAGAGTTAAGGGAGAAAAGAGAGCATAATACAAAATATAAGTGACAGAACACAAAATATTTTTAATAACCTGTTTGGTCAGACGCTCTCACCTGTACAACATCCTTAGTGTCTTCGTGCTGTTGAGATGAATTATTCCTTCTCCTCCTGTTTAAACTGCATCATGTCAAAAGAAAAATATTTTTTAATGGGGTTCAATGTACTAAAACAAACTATACATTTTAAAACTCAAAATTTCCTCCCAATCCAAACAGACTTACTGAAATGAGCTGTTTTTGCAGCTCGTTTCAGTAAGTCTGTCAGTAAGTCTGTTTGGACTTACTGAAACGTTAACCGACATTAACCGACATTTATACAATCACCACACGCATTTATACAACAGCAATGACTTTGCCCAAAAAATCATGGTAAATCAATTAAGCCATGACGATAAGTAGAATAGAATAGGGTCAAGTTTGTGTTGCTCCTGATGGGTAAAAAACATTTTCATGATTTGTAATCACAACATTTTTTCTTTTGTCAAATCAACTTAGATTATTTATCAGATAACATAATATTCTGAGTTTATGGTGATTAATTTAATCTCCTTCATTGTATTAACTCAATTTTTCCATTTTAATGAACTTAAAATTTTAAGGCAACCAGGTTACTTATTTTTTTTAAGTTAAACCAACAATATTTTTTACAGTGTACTGCTCTGCAGATCGTTCTGAAGGATCTCAAGAGTTGGAAAGACTTCAAATGGACCCTGATTATTTGAGTCTGACTGTAACAATTAGAGAGAGCAGCATTCATGCGTACAGTCCATGAGAAAGCAAAAGAGGATGTTTGAACCGAAGGCTTGAAGAGGCGGTAACACTTTAGAATACGGTTCCTTCGTTAATGAATAACTACACAAGAACCAATGAGTAACACAATATTAACTATCTAGTAACTATTATTAACTAACAAGAACCTCTGATTAATGAACTAGTAAGTAATAGCGCACAGACGAAAGTGGTAGTTCACTATTAACTAATCAATAACCAGTGTTGGGAGTAACGCATTACAAAAGTAATACATTACAGTAACATATTACTTTTTGCTGTAACGCAGTAGTGTAAGGCATTACTAATCAATTTTCAGTAATATTTTACTCGTTACATGTTCAGTGAGGCTTGTATTACAGTTGTATTACAGTGTATTGTCTGCTTTTACTTCTTAAAGGCAACAGACTATGTGAAAGTTTTAAAGCAGTCTTTTAGTGCCAGTTCAGAGCGGTCGCGTCTGTAACATTGTTTTTTCCTCATAAATGCGAACATGAAAACTAAAATAAAATGAATATTTTAAGTTCTATGGAGACTGGAGAGCCAACACTTCCTCATCCGATTTGCGCAGTGTAATTAACAGAATTACAAAAAATATATTTTGCCTCCTATTTTTTTGTCACGCATGAATGTGTGTCTTTTCCCTAATATTAAAAATAAAACATAGACTGATATTTGTCTAATGTCTGGAGTCCTTTAAGGAAGTAGCCTATATACGTTTCAATACATGTATTTTCTGAGAATTTTTATTTCAAGTTTTGACTGCAAATGTCATGTCCATAATGCTGGACTTCCCCAATTTTAAATAATTTATCCTCAACTAGTTTTGTGTTGTAGGTCTATGTATTTTATAATGTTAACTTCAAATAATACTAATAGCCTAATTTAAAGATAAGGCAGCATTGGATCTGGACGGTAAGGAGAATAACGCTGGAGTTGGAAGAGGTGTGTCGCGATTCTGTAGGTTCGTTGATCTGAGTCGTGTGGCGAATCGCGATTTCGGTTTCATATTGCATATCGTTACAGCCCCAAAGTTAAGTTCTACTTAGTTATTTTGGTGAAAGTAACTCAAAAGTAATACATGAGTAATGTAACGCATTTCAATTCTGGGACAGTAATATTGTAAGGTAATGAATTACTTTTAAATAACAGTAACAAGTAATACCTAATGTATTACAGTTTGGAAGTAACTTGCACAACACTGTCAATAACTAACTATTTTTTTAATACTTCCCAGAGAACTACTGAAAAAGTTTATTAACAATCTAGTAACTACTATTAACTAAAATAAACTCTTATTAACGAATTAGTAAGTAATAGCTCACAGATGAAAGTGTTACTAGATACTTCTGTGGGAATTACTAATTATTTGGATTCGTATTATAAAGTGAAGATCATTGGAACGAACTAGTAATTACTCAAGTGTTACTACATGATCTAGTCATGATTTGTGCAACCGTTTGAGATTTTTGGAGAACTTTAGTATACTTTTAGAAAATGTCTTTAGTAATACTTGAGTCATTACTTGTTAGTTCCAATGATCTTCACTTTATAATACAAATCCAAATAATTCCCATAGAAGTATAGTAACACTTTCATCTGTGAGCTATTCCTTTACTAATTCATTAATAAGAGTTTCTTTTAGTTAATAGTAGTTACTAGATTGTTAATAAACTTTTTCAGTAGTTCTCTGGGAAGTATTAAAAAATAGTAGTTATTGATTACTTAATACTGAACTACCACTTTCGTTTGTGCGCTATTACTTACTAGTTCGTTAATCAGAGTTTCTTGTTAGTTAATAATAGTTACTAGATTGTTAATATTGTGTTACTCATTGATTTTTGTGTAGTTATTCATTAACGAAGGAACCGTATTCTAAAGTGTTACCGAATACATAATAGAAACATTTTTTTACCTATACCACAGGACTCCTATGAATGTAATGATCAGAAACACGGACAGTGTGATGACAGCGATCAGTAAAGATGTTTTCCTCTTTGGACTTTCTAGTATAAGACACAAGTTACAGATACACAAATATTTAAAATACGCTTATAACATTAAAACTTTGATTACATATCAAGTACATCAGGTGTCACCTTCTACAGCACAGGAATACTCTTGAAGATCTTCATTGCTGACTGAGTCCAGGTACAGCTTGTTGGCTTTAGTGAATCCATCCGTTACCTGCCGTCCGTTCTTGTACCAGATGTAAGTATGATTGTTGTTCAGGGTGCATTTAGTTGAACAGCTTAATATCACTTCCTGTCCCTCTGATATAATGTTTGGGCTGCTTATCACTGTCGTATCTGAAAAACAGAGTTGAAGTATTTCAAGTTGGCCAAACATTGATTTTGACTGACATGGAAAACAAAAATACAAAAAACTTCTGTGAATCTTCTAATTAAAATGTTACCAAATCCACCATGATCAGTTACCTGTGACAGTAAGCATGACTCCAGGTGATCCAGAGTATTTTCCTTCTGCTGTGTCAGTGATGATCCTGAATCTATATTCTCCAGAGTCACTCATCTTGAGCTCTTTGATTCTCAGTGTGTTTCCCTCATACTCCACACGACCAGCAAACTGATGCTCCTCACGCAGATCATTGAAGTCACCAGGCTGATCGTAATGCCAGAATGTTTTATTTATAGTAGAACCAGAGGGATGTGAATATGTGCTGGAAATATCTACTGTTGAGCCCATCAAAGCACAGACTCTTCTAGAGGAGTAAGACACATCCCAGCAGCCACTCTCAGAAATACCTGAAAGAGTCACAGATGAACATGTAAAACTCAAACTTACTTTAAAACATGTTTAAATATACACATGGATGAACAAACTGTACCGCATTGTGTGTATTATTTGACACTCACACACAGAAGAGGAGTGATGTTTAAGGTTAAAATCAAGACCACAGGAATATCTGCCAGCCTCTGTACTGGGTGACACAAGCATGTTGTTAGACCTTGTACGTTTTAAATACTGTCCATCCTTCATCCAGTAATAATACCGATCAGTGGTGCAGGAAGAATCACAGGTCAGTTTTATTCTCTGATCTCTCGGGTCTGTTGTTGCAGGATTCATTCTCATCTGCAGGACTGAATTAAAGTAAAAATAAGAAATATTTCATCACATGACAAAAGAAAACAGCTGAAGTGACCAGAATCTAGACTCAGTTTCACCTGTGACTGTTAGATTGACGGCGACTGAGCTGAGACGTTTAACTCCATCCTTCATGATGAACATGAGCTGATATTCTCCAGAGTCTCTCTCTCTCAGGTCTGATATTGTGAGTGTTGAACGGCCGTATAAGACCTCCTGCTTCACCCGTCCTGAGTAGTCCGAGTCTAAAGTCAAATCTTCAGGTTCATCATTCTTTCTCCAGTTTGAACTCTGTTTCTGGCTGAACCATAACACAGTTTTGATTTTGATTTTGGCATAAGAACATCTCAGCTCCACAGGGCTTTCAGTCGGAGCACAAACATCTTTACAGGTCACAGAGAGGGAGTCCAATGTTAGAGAACCTGATGAAAAAGGTAACACTTAGACCAAAAAGTTGCATTGATGAGGGAAAGATCCTCTTTTGACAACCATGAGACAGCAGTGGCATCTCTCCTTCGTGTTTAAAATATTTTGATATTAATTATGATAAGACATTGATACTCTACAAACCATTAACATAATAATCTTACCCGAGATGTGTAGAAGTAGGATCAGTGATATGAGTCTGAAGTCCATGCTTAAAATTTGACAATATTTCACTTGTTTGTCCAGAACGAAAAAAAAAAAACAAAACAAAAAAATGTGGAGAGAGGCACACATTAATCATTTATCTAAATAACTCCTTCATGAATTGTATTTGTTTAAAGTTAGAACATAGTTAAGGAAATGTCAATTTAACAATTTTCTTAAAACAAATTTTAATGAGAGATTTACATACTTACATGTTGCAGATTTCTCCAGCTTTGAAGAAGTTGTGTGCTGTTGCAAAAGTGTTGTGAATGTCTAAAAAAAAGACCAGGCCAACAGATGTTAATATTTCCTTCCTTTTTCTGAAGCTGAACCTGAGCATCTTCATGTTTTATAGCTTTAAGTTCACTTTTAGGCTTTACATTTCCCAAACAGTCGAGTCAATGACAAATCTCGTTTAAAACATGATTCAAATTTACAGAAAATAGTTTTTTTTTTAATTTCATATGTTTTTGAAAACCGTTCTTAACAGTTAATTGAACGATTTTTGACTTATCGAAAATATTTTCTAAGATGGCTCCTGTCTGTATAGATGAAGTGAACTGTCTTCATAAAATGTCTTCTTATTAAATGGTCTGTACACTTACAAAGTTCTCAATGCTTTGTTTTGCGTGTATGGAGCCTCATTATGTTACTGCGTTAGTATGGGGCTATTTTGAGCATTGTTAGTGTTCTTTTTACTTAGTCAATGCCCCCATTACTAGCATTATACGGTAAACAGTTTTTAGAGATAAAACTGGTAACACTTTACAATAAGGTTCGTTAGTTAACATTAGTTAACTAGATTAGTTAATATGAACTAATAATGAATAGCACATATACAGCATTTGTTAATCTTTGTTAATGTTATTTTCAACATTTACTAATACTTGATTAAAATCTTGTTAACATTAGTTAATGCACCGTGAACTAACATGAACAAACAATGAACAGCTGTATTTTCATGAACTAACATGAACAAAGATGAACAAATGCAGTAACAAATGTTTTGCTCATGGTTAGTGCATGTTAGTAAATACATTAACTAATGTTAACTAACGAACCTTATTGTAAAGTGTTACCATAAAACTCTTTACATTCGATTATCATGAAAACAAATCTCAGAGAACGATTGACTAGGTACCAATGTTTTATTAGACCAAAGGTTCATTGTTCGCCAGAGTTCTCCTTTAATGAAACGTCATATGATGAAACAATTAATTCATAAATATTCAGTTTTTGAGGAGTCGCACCACATGACATTTTACAACCTAAAATAATCTTCCTTTGTCATAAACAGATACAAATTTCTGATATTTAGAAATTAGTAAGTCTTTTACTAAAATCTGTTGACTTTAGCAAGCCTTGTTCCATTATACATAGGGGAAAAAGCAATTTACATGTTTTCTCTCCAAAGTTTGTATGCCTGTAACTCAAGAACTATTAAAGATATCGTATTTAGTGCTGTCAATCGAGTTAAAAATATTAACTTATTCATCGCACTTTTTCTGTAATTAACATTAAATTTTAATATTGTAATACTTTCACATTGAATCTAGTAAGCTCAGATTCGTGCTTTGCTTGTAAATAAATTCTGAATGATCTAACGATAATATGAAGATATAATGACAGTTGGATAATGTACTTATATATTTAAATAGGCTTACTTACCTGTTATCCCAGAGTTTGGTACTTATATAATATTCATGATTTATATGTTACTTGCAAACATTTCGTTTTCAATTTTGTCTCAAATCATGCAACAAGCAACTGGTCGCAGATGGTAATAGTCCACTTTATTTAACATTAATTTAAAACCCTATAATGTGTCATTGATTTGTTATACAACACAACATAGATCTAAATAATATCACATCAATCCCCAGAGTAATCAGTGATGTCATCATATATGACATCACTGAGATGTTGATGCTGCACCAGACAGTCTTGGATGGTTTGAATGACTGTTGCCAGGCGACGGTCAAGAGCCAAAAGATGTTGCTCAGTAAGGAGGGGTGCCACTGCTGTAAGGGGATCCTGAGACAAAGATGCACGCATGACATCGCTCAACCGATACATCGGGAGAGAGAGCAGATGTAAACGAAGTAAGGTGGAACGACGTATTCTGAGGGAAAGAACGAGGAAATAAGAAGCTGATAATAAAAACAACCCCTTTAAATTGTTACTTATAATATGTTCACTCTACCTGCAGCACTGCACAATAGGAGCCAATATAGAAGGTTCATCTTTGGAGTGACGTCCAAACCTACAATACACATAAGTCCCACACAGAAGCATCACGCCTAATCAAACTGAGCCAAACAAAACTTTGTCAGAAAACCTCTTGGACTCCTGATTTTGAATACTCACGCTCTTCCATTGTCCAAGTGTATGAGAAATGTGTCATTGCCAAACTTCTGAAATGTATCATAGTGGTGCCTATCCATGTTACCTGAAGATGGTAGATGGAAAGTATCAGGAAATCATGACGATTTAAAAAAAGAGAGTAGTATGAAGGCTTACATCAGCTCAATGAAAGCTAGGTATTTCAAAGAATTTCATGGTTTGAGTCCAAAAACATGGTTTTCCTGTGATATACAAAGAAAACTATAATACTTTTTTGTAAGTGTTCACCCTTGAGTTATCTTAACTGATCCATTACTCACTCATGAGAAAGTCGAGAATGCTCATGTCAATCAGATCCACCAATCGAGTGCCTCGGTCGTAGGGAGGAGACTTTTTTACTGAGTCACAGTAGTTGGTATCTGTTTCCCAACTGTTACAGAAATAATCATTGGTTAGCCACTATGGTTCCTCAATTGTGAATTACACTAAATATTTGCAAAAACACAACAAAGACGAAGGTAAAAAAGAAACTTTGAAAGTCAAATGGGTCCAGAAAACAACTTTGGACCGCACCCCATTCACTTTCACTGTATTAGAAAAGAAAATGTCCAGAGGGTGAGGAAATGATGACAAAGTGTTTATTTTTGGATTAACTATCCTTTTAAATAACATAAACACACTCCACCCACAGAGCCAGACTGCTCCGGCTGTAGGACCGCTTCCAGGGGTTCTTCCACGTGCGGCGCTGTGCCAACGACGGGTCTGGCAGCATAGCAGCCAAAGACCCCTCAATCATAACGGGACGCCCACAGATAGCATGCTCCGTGGAGCAGTAATAGGAACACTGGCCGTAAAAACACATATTCCCCACTGCAGAAAGAGAAAGACAGATGGTGACTGACAAATAAACCATTCTTCAGAGGAAGTGATGGAGAGGAGTCAAGTGGGACGAACCTGGGGATGTGAAAAATGTTGAGACCAGTCTATGATCAGTGGTGATATCTTTGATCTCTTTTTTTATATTAATAAGCCTCCCAACCACTGGAGGGATCCTCCTGAAACCCAGTATCCTTAATGTGAAAGAAAAGAGTTATGTTCAGAATTGAATGCAGAATGTTCAGTATAATGTCTACTAAAACTTGTTTTATGTAAAATAGCAGAAAATATTCAAAGGTAAACAGTTTTAAATAGCTGTAATTTTATTGTCAAGTGATCTTCTTTCCAGTGTGGTGGTATCACATTACAAGTAATGCAAGTTATATAATCATCATCAGAATACTTTAACTATGAATCTGATTATGTAACTTGCTAAAACTATCTAACCAGTAAAGTAACACATTACTTTTAAATTTACAACACAATATCTTATTCCAATCCTTTTTCAAATAAATAAGTAAGTTCTTTTCTTATTTATTGACTGAGAGTCAATAGTCAGCTGCTCTTCCCTGGTGGATGGATGGGAGGAGAATCTTTTGTTTACTTTTGTACACATATTCTCAGTAAGGGCAGCTTCTCTATCTCTGGGTCTCAAGTAGACACAGATGGCAGTGAGCGACGCTTCCATGCCTTGCCACTCCTGTCCCCCCTATCACCAGTGGGCAGCAATGCCCGTATCGGGGCCGCACCAGGCCTTCCCACGCACCCTAATGCCACACCCTGGAACCAGGTAGTGTTGCACAGCACACTCAGACTCCACTTCAGGCTGCCTTAGTGCCTCCCAAGTAGAGTCCCTGTGTTTCACCTCGCTGCTCCCCTCCGGTAACATCCGTAGTCCCGTTGGTCCAGCACGGTGTCTGGGAGCTGGCTCATCCATACCATCAGACTCGGCTATCCGATTCAGTTCGCCCGGCGCCCTCCTAGTAAAGGACATGATCGAGCTGGTCCCTCCAGCCAATATGAAGACAGGGTTCTACAGTCCCTACTTCATTGTACAAAAGAAAGGGGGTGGCTTTTGGCCAATCATGGACTTGCGAACCTTGAGTCAGGCCCTGTAAAAGCTCCCGTTCAAGATGTTAACGCAGAAATACATTTTCGTAAACATCCGTCCCCAAGATTGGTTTGCAGCGATCAATTTGGAGGATACGTACTTTCATGTCTCGATTCTCCCTCGACACAGACCTTTCCTGCACTTTGTGTTCAAGGGATGTGCATATCAGTACAAAGTCCTACCCTTCGGTTTATCCCTGTCGCCGTGTGTCTTTAAGAAAGTCATGGAGACAGCCATTGTTCCACTCAGAGGACATGGCATTCGCATTCTCAACAATCTCGATGACTGGCTGATTCTGGCTCAGTCTCCTGATCAGTTGTGTGAATATAAGGACATGGTGCTCAGCCTGTTGGGACTTTGGGTCAACTGGGAAAAGAGCAAAAGACCAAACTCTCCCTAGTGCAGAGGATCTATTTTCACAGTATGGAGTTGAGATGTCTGTTCAGTGTTGAAATACTTGAGTACTATCAAGAACAAGACAGCGGTCCCACTGAAAAATTTTCAGAGGCTCATTGGGCATATGGTATCCACAGCTGCAGTGCCACTCGGGTTGCGTCATATGAGCTTCATGTACCTGCTGTCTGCACACGCAAGGTCTCTCGGTCGCTTACCTCTCTGCTGCAGTTTGGACCACAATATCTGTCTCGCATGCACGCTTGCTCTAGATTACAGGATATTTTATTTGCTGTATAACTAGTTGATCACGAGTGGCTCAACGGGTAGATATATCGATAAACTCATCTCTCAGGGATTTGACCGACCAGGTTGACACTTCAGCATGAGAAATTGGGTGAGAGCATGAGAGCATGCCTCTCCAAACTTGACCCATTGCCAGTTGTTTTTCCCCCTGTCCAAGTGGACCCTTGGCATGGATACTCTGGTGCACAGCTGACCCCAGGGCCTACGCAAGTATGCGTTACCCCCAGTGAGTCTTCTTGCACAGACTCAAAGTCTTGCAAAGTCAGGGAGGAATAGGAGCAGGTCTTAATAGTTGTGCCATACTGGCCCAACCGGACCTGGTTCCCAGAACTCATGCTCCTCACGACAGTACTCCATGGCCCATTCCTCTGAGGAAGGACCTACTTTCTCAGAGATGGGGCACTCTATAGCACCCCAGGCGTTGGTAGACACCATCACTTCTGCTAGAGTCACCCCAACAAGGTGCCTCTATGCACTAAAGTGGAACCTGTTTGTTGAGTGGTG